CAAAAAGAACATTGAGGATGCAACACATAATGAATACGGTAATAGTGGCACATGTTGAATTGGCAAAAAAAAAAAAAAAAAAGCAAAATGATTAGTCAACTGTGTAGGGAGTTTATGGCAAGAGGGAAAAAGCTTTCGGAATGTCTGCTGGTTTTAGTGTGCATAGTTTGATAGCGCCTTACCTGAGGGAAGGTGCTGGAAGAGGTGGTGACCAGGATCCGGAAGGTCAACGAGAATTTTGTTCATTCGCCACCATTGACATCAAACGTCGGCAGTGAACGAATTTGAGCCTGATGTTATTAACTGAGTCCAACATTCTGCTGGAACTCTTGACCATGAAAATAAATCAGTCCGTCCAGATTCTATAATGCGTGTCCTCGTTGACTTTTGGCAAGCGGCGGGGTACACACTGGATCAGTTGCCCGTCAATTGCAAGGCAAATATACTTGTCGACAAGCAAGCACTGACGCCAATGCACGAAGGCCCGAGCTGAGGTTAAAACCCTCAACCTGGGGATCGTGAGGCAAACCACGACAACACCGTGCTGCCTTAACACCGATGAAATACCGGTTTCTGCTTGACGCCACAATATGTTTCTCATGGAAGGAATCCAAACAATGACATAATGGGATCCCAGGGCCAGAAGTAACATTATTTTCGATCCGGATAAGAACTGATAACCCTACACACACACACACACACACACACACACACACACACACACACACACACACGCTCGTGTCCGCCGAGAGTCAAAGCAGGCTAGGTGATGTTTACTGTTTAGCCCTGCGTGTTGATGTAATGAGACAAGCAGGCTGATAAGAGCGGGCCAGAGGTAGCGCCGCTCCCGCGTTTGATCTCGGGTACAGACGCGGGAGCGGGGTCAGCGAGGTGCGGCGTGCGCTTGATTAGTAACTGGATGACGAGGCGGGTCGCGGGGCGGGCGGGGGGAGTCAACTCTGACCCGGTACACCGACACGCCGGGCCCTGACGCAACGCTCCGCGCTTCTCCCACAAGAGAAAGCGCGTGTGTGCTCGCAGGACCGGGATCCGCTTCCCCGTTGTGCCTCAACAATGCACACAAAGTGCACGGTGGAGAAGCTGGCCTGGTTCAGTGTAGTCATGCCGGGCAAATCATAAACAAACGGTGATGTGCCACTTTGCGTCGTTATTATTGTTTGGCCAACGAAAGCACCGTTTTTTTTTTTTAAGGTTCGAATTCCAAAATCCAGACTCGGTCCCCCAAAGGCAGTTTGACAGCGCAACGTGAAATTTAGTCCCGGTTCAGGGTGTCCCCCGCCTACTGCCCGAAGACACCTGGGATAGGCTCCGGCGCCCCCCGCAACCCTTGTGAGGATGAAGCGGATCGGAAAATGGGTGGATGGATGGGTTATTTTATTTGCCCCCCCTAAGCCTCTCCATATAAGACATTTTAGTTTTAGCAATTTCGTTAGTTTCCATTAACTCTAATCACTTTGCATCTAAGCACGAATACATTTACCGCGCCGCGATCAAACCAACGTTGTCGTTCATTCGTGAAAACTTCGACGAAAACTTTCAACTAGTTTGTTGCCTCGTCAACCTTTTCTGAGAACTTTGTTGCCGTGCGTCTTTATCGGCCTGCGGCGTTTCCTTCCACAGGGGGCAGGCAGCATTTCCGTCGAGATCATTTCATTTTAATCACGGTGTGGCTGTGAGCGAGGGTCATAAATCACCGCCTTCCTTCACCGTATCCCCCCCCCCGACACTTTTTCTTCCCCTTCATGAAGCCGCCTACCAATCCAAGCACCATAATCACTCACCTCGGTCGGACCTCCCCCAAGGAGTTACAAGTTGCTCTTTTTTTTTTTTTTGATCAATGGCATCTCATCACACTTTTAATTGCTGGCTCTTTTCATCCTAATTTGACGTTTGTTTCCCGTCTCAGCGCAGGACTGTAATTTTCGCATCAAGGAAGACGGAAGGGGATGATGAGCAGGTGGAGGGATGAAGCCACGCGAGGGAATTTTTTTAACCTCCGAGCTCTAGCCCGGTCAGTGGCGTTGCGGCGCAACCGCCACAAGTCGGCGCGCTCAACAACGGCAGCGGCGGGGCGGCAAACTGCTGACAATTAGCAAGATTTCTGGTTTGAAGTGTTTTTGCGCAGCAGTGAAAAAAGAGCAAATTAAAGAGGAGACCAAAATAGACAACCTCGAGCGCGCGTTGTTCCAACAAAGAGAATTTTTGCAACAATCATTTCCAGTTTTAAACAAATGCCAACTGTGTCGGGAAAAGAACTGAACATGCCGAATGTTCGCAGTATTGTTTCGCAAGAGCATTTTCTGGCAAGGATTTTTTTTTAATGGCATCCTGACAAAAATGTAATATTCCAATACAAAGCTGACAGGTTTTTTTTTTGTCTGTTTTTTTTTGGGACAAGGGGGTGGTTACATATATTTTTTCCTTTTCCATTCCTGTCTGGTCTCTATTTGTTGTCCGTTCTTTTTTTTGGGGCGATTTGTCCTTTTCCAATTCCCTCCATTTATATTTTTTCCATTTTGAATTTTGTCTCCTCAGTTTCTCATTAAGGTAAAAAAAAAAGTCCCTAAAAGCCTCGCTGCCTCAAAATTATGACCGAATATGGAAAGTGTATCCATAAAATTTCGTGGCAAAATGGGGTGAAAGCCAGCATTTTGAAGGAAGGAAAAAAAATCTCCGTTTGTGATGGAATATTGCATTTATTTGCCAAAATATTGCAATTTGTAACAAAATATTTGGGTGGGAGGGGATAACATCCCGGTGGCAAAATATATTCCCTGGAGAGGCAGAATATTCCCTTTTGGAAGTGTCACTATTTCTGCCAGAATATTGCATTTCTACAATTGTACAATTCTAATGCAACCTAGCATCTTGATTTTTTTTTAAAATAATAATAATAATAATAATGAGAAATTAAGAAGGGGCAGCCCGGTGGTCCTGTGGTTAGCGCGACAACCTCACAGTGCAGAGGTCGTGGGTTTGATCCCGGCTCCGGCCTGCCTGTATGGAGTTTGCATGTTCTCCCTGGGCCTGCGTGGCTTTTCTCCGGGTACTCCGGTTTCCTCCCACATTCCAAAAACATGCATGGCAGGCTGATTGAACACTCTAAGTTGTCCCGAGGTGTCAGTGTGAGCGCCGATGGTCTTTCGTCTCTGTGTGCCCTGCGATTGGCTGGCAGCCGGTTCAGGGCGTCCTCCACCTACTGCCCGAAGACAGCTGGGATAGTCTCCGGCACCCCCCCGCGACCCTTCTGAGGATAAAGCGGATCGGAAAATGGATAGATCATTCAGAACACAGTGACGACCATTCACACAGTATTGAACCGTATGGTGTCCTTTCATACAGCATGATCAAATTTTGCTGACGTTAAATTACGGCTCTTATGTATGCGTCGCTCCTATATATACTTTGCCTTCATGTAGTATCTGTGTCGTGAGAGGAAAGTGAATTGAGGTCACCACGCAGCAGGGATGCTTCCTTTTCATGTGCCATCCAGAGGGGTCACTCTTATGAACTCATTAGCGGAGAAATGCTAATGTAGCGCTCCACACTTACTTGCTCTCCTCCTCTTTTCCCCTTTTCCTCATATTTATTCCCCGGTCCAAATTAGATCGGAATGTTCCGCGTGTCGATGCCAACGGCGGGGCGTTCGCTTTTGTGCTTTTCAAGGTGTTACACCACAAACAAAGGCGCTGTCTGTCACCGTAAGTTGTCTTGTGCACTTCCATCATCGTTCTAACATCGAACCTTTTCCCGCCAGGTAGTGCCTCAAAAATTATAATGACCAACTATTCAAGTACAAGAGTGTAGTAGGCCCAAGTGTTCATTAAAAAACATAAAGTGCAAAGTTTCAACCTTACCGCTGCATATAAAGAGCAAGAAAAAAAAAAACATTGTAAGCAATGGTTCAGTTTTTGCACAAGAATTGAAGACAACAAAAAGTTGAAAAGCTAAATTTAACTGAAAATGTACTGGACAGTAATACCTTGTTGAGTGTTCCAGACCACGTCCGTGATTGAAGAAATATGAAAAGTGGCGACCAAATATTTATTTCATGATTTTTATTCATTTTAAGAGTTTCATGCGGTACACCAGAATATATGCATGTGAGTTGCAGTTAGTATTTTTGTCCACCGGGGATCACCATCTTCACGTTCTCCACTGTCGTATCTGTGATGTTGGATGACAAAACAAAAATCGAATAGAATCGAATAAAATTGAGTACTGGTGTCCAACTCAAGGCCCGGGGGGCAGATATGGGCCCACAACATTCTTTTCTGTGGCCTGCAAAAGCAAATGATGTGTAAATGAAACTTCCTTTTTTTGAAATTTCAAAACTGCAAATTGTCTTAAAAACTGTATTGCAATCATTTTTTTCTTACCAAATCTGCCTTTTGAAATGTAATAATTGAAAGTTTTTTTTTTTTGGTTTTTTTTTTTTTTTATGAGCCTGTGATCTCAAAATGAGTTATTCATCAATTTGATCAATTTGTGTGTGTGTGTGTGTGTGTGTGTGTGTGTGTGTGTGTGTGTGTGTGTGCGTGTGTGTGTAACATGAGCCAATGATACATTCATTTGGGTTCAGGGCCATACCGGCCCTCTGAAGGAGTTGCCTCACTAAAATGTGGCCCGCGGCAAAAAAATGAATTTGGCACCTCTGGAATCGGGTGAATCTCCTGCAGGTGCGCTGCTGGAAATTTGCCAGTTTCTCTTCATTGGTCCCTGAATTTTTTGTTCTTCTCTCGATGTAACGACATGAAGGCTCAACATTTAAATGTTCTTCCAGTACATGGAGGAATGGAAAATATAGCCTTTATGTGATCAAATATATCATTTGGTGACAAAAAAATTTTTGGAGGGGTGAGGGGTGGCAAAATATACCATTTAGGTGCCAAAATAGAAGGTTTTGTGGCAGAATGGGCCCTGCAGGCCTTTACCTTGATAGGCCACAAGTCCTTTTTTCCTCCAATTAAAAAGCATATCGAAGTGTGTATTCTGCTCATATTCAGTCATGCTGTATAACTTTCCCATGCCCACAGCGTAGCTTGGCGTCCTTGAAACAATCATCACTTAAAATTAGAATACTCCCTACTGGAGACGGGACAAACATTGGACTGCGCTAGTTGATACAAGCTGACAATTGGTTTAGGCGAAACGAAAGTTATGATGTCACACCTTGAGTTTTGGTGCCACCCTTCTGATGATATACAAATGATGTGAATCACTTTCTGCTTCGCACTGGTGACACGCAGCCATTGTCTGTAAACCCCGGGTGCCCGGAATATTGTGTTGTTAAAAGCTTCGAAGAAACTCTTCATGGACTCCAGCATGTATTTGGATTACCAGTATTCTCTTCGTCTGAAATTCAACGAATATGAGGAGGAAAGAAGGCCACTTTACCTCCAACAATATCAAAGGTAAATAAATAAATCACCAAAAAACAAACAAATAAATAGTGGTTCCTGTTAGGGTGGTTTGGGGAGCTCGGGTCAATCGTGAAACAAGACGGCTAATTAAATTAACGAGTTACAATAATGAGGCAAAACAGCAGCAGCTTCTCTTTTTTTGTGGCTGAAAACAAGACGAAATCTTCGCAATTTTTTTTTTTGGGTCTCCCTGAAAGCTCGTTTGTTGGGTTCTAATTAACTCTTACGAAAGCGCGTGCGTGCGCGCGCGCGCGCCTGTGCGTGCGTGCGTGCGTGCGCGTGCGCTCTTTCCGCTCTACTCTGGAATGCCGCCAGTCCCAGCTCTTTTCCACGCGCGCCTTCCAAAAACCCAAAAAGCCTTTGATCTTCTTTTTTTTTTCACCGCCTCCTCCCCTCTAATGTCTTCCTAGATCTCTCTCTCTCTCTCTCTCTCTCTCTCTCCTAATGTCTCCCTAGATCTCTCTCTCTCTCTCTCTCTCTCTCTCTCTCTCTCTCTCTCTCTCAGCTGCTGGAAATGTTGGCCTGGCTCCACACTCGGACCAAATTTAGTCATACAAAGGGGAGGGGGGAGTTGCGGGGGGTGTCAAGG